AGGAACAAAATCAATTGCCTGAATATAGCCTCATATTGACAACTAATATTACACAAGTGAACCAAGAATACTCAATGATATTATCTTCAATGAATGGATTGGAAATTTTGATATCCACATGCAAGAATACAATTGATTCATATTTTATATCATTTACAAAAATAAAGTTGAAATGGATTAAAGACTTAAATGTGAGACCTAAAACCTTAATATTTCTTTCTTTTTTTAAAATATATTTTATTGATTTTTCACAGAGAGGAAGAGAGAGGGATAGAGAGTTAGAAACGTCGATGAGAGAGAATCATCGACCAGTTGCCTCTTGCACACTCCCTACTGGGGATGTGCCTGCAACCAAGGTACATGCCCTTGACCAGAATCGAACCCGGGACCTTTCAGTCCACAAGCTGACGCTCTATCCACTGAGCCAAACTGGTGCCAGCTTAAAACCTTAATATTTCTTCAAGAAAACACAGAAGCAAAGAAAATCTTCTTGACATTAGTCTTAGTGACAATATTATGAACCTTCCACCGAAAGCACATGCAACAAAAGCAAAAATCAACAGGTGGGACAACATCAAATTGAAAAACTCTGGTAAGAGAAGAAACCAAGATGGTGACATAGGCAAACACCTAAACTGCCTCACACAAATGTGTCTGGCTTCCTCAAGCGGGAGAGAGACAAAAGCTCCCAACTGCACTGAATTCCAGGTCCAGATGAGTCTCTGGGGACCCAGACTCATATGGGGAGAAATTGGACTGTCAGGAAAGAGAAAAGCACACTGACACTCAGAGGAATTGTGGAAGACAGAGGTACCGAGGGTTTATCAAGCGGAAGATAAATGCTTCTGACTGCTCTGAACTCCAGTTCTGGGCGAGACTCTGGGGACCCAGATTTATTCAGGGAGAAACTGGACTGTCTAACAGTGGGAAAAACTCAAGGGCAGCTTTCTCTCAGAGGTGCTTACAGCAATTACTGTGGGACTCTGAGACCCAGGGGCCTCTTAAGTCAGGGCTGATGAGAAGCCAATGCTGTCTGCTCTGCCCTGAGACTCTGTGCCATCCAAGCTGAACACAGAGGCTTTTGCAAGTCTTGTCTCATAAGGGTGTCTCCAGCACAGAAGTTCTCCAAGCATAGACACAGCTGATCCTCAGAGCCAATTGGCCTGGAGGTCAATTCCTCCCAGTGATACCAACAGCAATCAAGACTTAACTACAGCCGAAGCCGGTTTGGCTCAGTGGTAGAGCGTCGGTCTGTGGACTGAAAGGTCCCGGGTTTGATTCCGGTCAAGGGCATGTACCTTGATTGCGGGCATATCCCCAGCAGGGGGTGTGCAAGAGGCAGCTGATCGATGACTCTTTCTCATCGATGTTTCTAACTCGCTCTCTTTCTCCCTTCCTCTCTGTACAAAATCAATAAAATATATTTTTTTTAAAAAGACTTAATTACAACAAGACTGTGCACACAGCCCACAAAGGGGTGCACCAAGAGTGTCCACTTCAGGTAGCTGGGGAGGCTGAGCCACTAGGCTCTATAGGACACCTAGCACACAAGGCCACTCTATCAACTCAGGGGAGCAGCCAAAATTTGGAAACAAAGAAACAGTTCACAAATGAAAGAAATGGGGGAAAGCAAATGATTGTATATAAAGTTCAAGACCATGGTTATAAAGTTTTTCAAGAATTTTCTAGAAAAGGCTGATAAATTTAGTGAGACCCTCAAGGAAATGAAAAAGACCAACTAGAAATTAAGTATTTATTTCACTGACTGAAATAAAAAATAATATACAGAGATCCAACAACAGACAAGATGATCACAAGAATCAAGTCAAAGATTAGAAATACAAAGAAGCAAAAAATACCCAACCAGAAAGACAAAAAGCTAAAAGAATCCAAAAATATGAAGATAGTGTAAGGAGCCTCTAGGATAACTTCAAGCATACCAACATTAGAATTATGGGTGTCCCAGGAGAAGAGATAGAGCAAGATACTGAAAACCTATTTTAAGAAATAATAACAGAAAACTTCCCCCACCTAGTGAAAGAAATAGACTTACAAGTCTAGGAAGCACAGAGAATACCAAACAAAAGAAATCCAAAGAGGACCACACCAAGACACATCATAATTAAAATGCCAAGAGCAAAAGACAGAAAATATTAAAAACAACAAGAGAAAAATAGTTAGTTACCTACAAGGGAGTACCCATACGATTGTCAGCTGATTTCTCAATAGAAACTATGCAGGCCACACAGGAGTGGCGAGAAATATTCAAAGTGATGAATAGCAAAAACCTACAACCAAGATTACTCTACCCATCAAGCTTTCATTCAGAATTGAAGGACAGATAGAGAGCTTCACAGGTAAGAAAAAGTTAAAGGAGTTCATCACCACCAAACCAGTATTATATGAAATGCTAAAAGGTATTCTTTAATAAGAAGAAAAATGTAAAGATAAAAATTATGAACAACAAATACATATCTATCAAAAAGTGAACCTAAAAATCAAGTGAATAAAAACTCTGATGAACAGTATTGACTAGTGAATAAAATAGAATCAGGGGCATAGAAAGGGAATGCACTGACAATTCTTTGGGGGAAAGGGGTTGGGGGTGCAGGAAGAGACTGGACAAAAATTGTACACCTATAGATGAGGACAGTGGGGAGGAGGGTAAGGCAGAGGGTGGGGTAGGAACTTGGTGGAGAGGAGCTATTGGGGGGGGAGGAACAATTATAATAATCTGAACAATAAAGATTTATTCTTAAATTAAAAATTAAAAAAAAATAAAACCTTCTGGCAAAAGAAACCATCAGCAAAATAAAAAGGTAACCTACAAAATGGGAAAAATATTTCAAACTATCTATCTTACTAGAGGCCTGGTGCATGAAATTCATGCACTGGGTTGGCGGAGGGGAGGGTGTCCCTCAGCCCGGCCTGCGTCCTCTCATAGGCCCTGAGGATCAGGCCTAAGCCAGCAGTCAGACATCCCTCTTGCACTCCAGGGCTCTCACAGTCCAGGATCCTCACTCCTTACCACCTGCCTACAGTGTAAGTGGGAGAGGCTCCCGCCACCACCACTGCATTCGCCAGCCAGGAGCCTGGCTTCTGACTGAGTGGCATTCCCCCTGTGGGAGGGTCTGACCACCATGGGGCAGTTCCTGTGTTGAACGTCTGCCCCCTGGTTGTTCAGCTAATAGGGCCAATTTGCATATTACCCTTTTATTATATAGGATAATTGTTAATATCCAAATTATGTAAGGGGCTAATAAACTCAATAGCAAAAAAACAAGTAAAAATGTGATTATTATAAGTGGACAGAGGTCATTATTATATAAGTTAATGAGACAAAATATTTGTATGATCTCACTCATATGTGGAATCTAAAAAAACTAATCTTGAAACAGTAGAATGGTGATTACTAAGGGTGGTGGGGTGCAGAAAATGGGGAGATGATGGTCAAAGTGTACAAACTTTCAGTTAGAAGATGAATCAGTTCTGCCCTAGTTAGGTGCCTCAGTTATTTGGAGCATTGTTTCATACAGCAAAAGGTTGTAGGTTCAATTCCAGGTTAGGGCACATATTTAGGTTGTGGGTTTGATTCGAAGTTGGGGCACATACTGAAAGCAACCAGTTTATGTTTCTTTCTCACATCCATGTTTCTCTTTCTAAAAAAATTCAATGAACATACCCTCAGGTGAGAATAAAAGATGAATCAGTTCTGGGATTTAATGTACAGTGTGATTACTATAGTTAACAATACTGTATTATATACTTGAGAGTTGCTACAGAAGTAAATATTCAATGTTGTTACCACAAATTTTAAAAAGCTAATTACATATGGTGATGGAGGTTTTAACTACCCATACTGTGGTAAGCTTTTCATAATATATACAGGTATCATATCATCATGTTGTACTCCTTAAACATATACAATATTACATGTCAATAATATCTCAATAAAGGTGGGGGGGTGTAAATAATTTTGCATAGGTCCTCCTTTTCCTCCATTAACCTCTTCCAATCCTCTCCCTTCCCTTTCCCTCTCCCCCCCCCCCAGGCCCTCACCACTCCACAGTAATGCATATATGGATACAAGTTCATCCCTTGATCTCTTTCCACCTACCCTTTCCTGTCTTCCCTCTGAGGTTCATGCTTCTGTCTCTGGGATGCTTCTATGTCTCTGGGTCTATTTTTGATAATCAGTTTATTTGGTTCATTAGATTCCACATATGAATGTCATACTTTCAACAATAAATATTTTTAAAGAGAATATTAAATTAAAAAATAAAAATGGAAAAATAAATGCAAATCTACATAAATAAATAAATAAATATTTATTAATAAATAAATAAAATTTGGTATAGAATATATATTTTTAAAAAAACTTTTCCATATGTAACAACTTGGATGAATCTGGAAGAAATTAATGCTAAGTAAAATAAGCCAGTCACAGAAGTACAAATACTGCATAATTCCACTTACATGAGATGTAAAATACTCAAATTCTAGGGATGGATTAGGAAGAAATTAGTTGTTCAATAGCCATAAAGTTAGTTTACATTGGATGAAGCTCTAGAAATCCATGTATAGCATTGTGTCTATAGTTAACAATACAGGGCTGTGCACTTAAAATTGTTAAGAGGGAAGTACATGTATTAAGGGTTCCTATTACACACACAAGCAGGGAAACATAAGATGTCTTTGGAGGTGATTGATATGTTTATTACTTTGAGAGTGATGATGATATCACAGGTGTATGAATATGTTCAAACATCAAAACATTAAATATGTATAAAATTTTATAAACTACATATACCTTGATGAAGCTTTAAAATAAGATGCTATCTAGGAACACAGAATAAAAAATAATGAAATAATTTATAGAAATTGGAGTAATAAAAATGTGTGAAGAAAACAATTTGTATCCATAACTAAAGACTGGATTTGAGGGAGTAGTGTGAATATCCAAAGTCTTTATGTAATTTTCTTTTTAAATTTTATTTTAGGTATGAATTTACATAAAAACAAAAAGGAGTTCTCACATCATCAAAAACGTTTATCCTCCAGGGACATCTCAGCAATTAAATTCCCAACAAAAGTGGTCAATGTATCACCCTTTGACAATCAAGGTAAAAAATTATACTTAAAGACATAAAATAAGTATGTAATTAAAACAGTTTTGTAGTATTTTTTTTTACTCATTTTGCATCTTACATTTTATTAGAATATCTTAGGTAATCCTTGCAAGACTAAAAATGAAATGGTTTTATCTCTCTTTTATTTTTATTTTTACTGGCAGGATGATATTTCATGGAATAGAATTATTTGTTCAGATATTTTTCTATTAAAGGGCATTAAGGTTTTTTTGGATTTTGTTCTTTTGTGTTTTATTTTGTTTTTTTGTTTGTTTGTTTGTTTGTTTGCTTTGCTTTTTATCACTAGTAAATGTATTCTTAAGCATATCCTTACATACTGGTACTTTCATCTCTTTGAGATAAAGTTCCAGGGGTGAGATTGTTAAAATATACATAGATTTTTAACTTTAAAGGACACTTTTAGACTGCATCCCTAAAAGGCTTTTAAAATGCACATTTTCACCAGCAATTTGGGGAGAAACATATTTTCTCTGCATAACCATAAGCCATACAGATCAGTGGTTTCTTTGTGGTGATATGAGGGTTTTTCATTTATGCTCATATGTCAATCTTATTTTAATTTTTTCATATGTGCTAGTGATTTTTTTTTACTATATAACTACCCCAAACATATTTAGCATAAGCAGTAACTATTTACATAGCTCTTATTTAGGAGGTAGTAGCGTAGACTGGGTTGGGCTAACTTATGCATCTTTGGTTAACTAGTGGTCAGTGCTTTTACTCACATGTCTGGCAATTTCCTGGCTATTATTTGGGTTCCATCAATAAATAGAAACCTCATAGGTGTTTGAAAAAGGAGCAATAATGGGAATAAAAACTAACAAATTTGTTAACTAGGTAATTGAAAGTATAAAAAATCTGTAAAGTAGCATGGAAGAAGTAATTTCAGGAAAAAGGTTGCCAAACCTAGGGCTGTAGAGGATGCAGCTTGGCTGATACTGTGTCTAACTTTTTAAGTAGGAGCCCAGATATGTTTCCGAAGAGAGGCACTGCTAATGTATCAGGTGGTGAGAGTTCAAATAAAACTGATTCTTAAATGTTGGAAAAAATACAAACTATTTACATTATGGAAAGAACTTCTGTTCCTGGAATAAAGAAATATTGCTGGGAAGATGTTCACAGAAACTGAAAAGAGACATGAATCTCTTAGGAAGCTCATTGGTAATCAAATAGGAGAAACAAATCCCATGATTTCTAAATTCAATCTCCCTCTAGCATACCCTGTTTCACTGCCTTACTTGGAGCTACCTGGCAAAGCAAGAATATGGTTTTTAGAGTTCAAGATCCAGAATACAAAGCAGAATATGGCTAGGGAGTTAAGAGAAAATCAACTTTTCAGATGGTACATGAGGCAACCTAGCTATAGATCTCTCATCATCCACACCTTAGGAGACACATGGTGAAACCTCAGATTCTAAGAGTGGCATCTGGACAAGCCTTGATGTACAAGCAATTTTAAAGTTTCTGCTTCTTGTTCCATTCACTAAAGTTATATAGCCTGGATCAAGATTGGTGGGAGGGCAGTAGTCAAGAGCAGAACACACTGAGACCAATCCACCAGTATTGCCTCTGGTTGCAAATAGTCCTGACCTGCCCAAATGCAAAATGCATGTGCTTTTTCCAGAACCTCCTAAATTTTCATTAAAAATTTAGCATCATGCTGAAGCCGGTTTGGCTCAGTGGTAGAGCGTCAGTCTGTGGACTGAAAGGTCCCAGGTTCGATTCCGGTCAAGGGCATGTACCTTGGTTGCGGGCACATCCCCGGTAAGGGGTGTGCAAGAGGCAGCTGATTGATGTTTCTCTCTCATCGACGTTTCTACCTCTCTATCTCTCTCCCTTTCTCTCTGTTAAAAATCAATAAAATATATTTTTTAAAAATTTAGCATCATGGCAAAAGATCACAATATTGTGACCTATAATAATTTCTTAAATATATTTTATTGATTTTTTACAGAGAGGAAGAGAGAGGGATAGAAAGTTAGAAACACTGATGAATCATCAATCAGCTGCCTCTTGCACCACTCCTACTGGGGATGTGCCCGCAACCAAGGTATGGTACATTCACTTGACCGGAATCGAACCCGGGACCTTTCAGTGCACAGGCCGACGCGCTATCCACTGAGCCAAACCGGTTTCGGCGATCTATAATAATTTTTAAAGGCAGTTTCTATGATGTGACTTCCCATAAAACATACACACACCCTGCACAGTATACTAGCAAGACAGGGATAGGTGCCAGACAGGCTCTCTTCTACAAAAAGGCAAAAGAAAACAGGCGCATAGCAGTTAATGATCAATAAATATTAAAGAAGGGAAATGTTAGGGAGAGAGAGAGAGACCAGGTCAAGAGGGAGACATTTTATTTTCCTTTTAAAAAATGTATTTTTGGAAGCAGAAAAAGAGAGCAGCTGACGGTCTTGTGCTGTGAGTGCTTATCAGCAAGCTGGGAGACAGCGAACACCAGAAGAATCTGCTGGGGGGGCGCTGACAGGGGTACCCGTCACAGGGAAGCACCCAGCAGGGCTACGTCCCTGCCCGGAGCTACCTACCGGCTTGGACGGGGAAACCACGCCATCTTGAGAGGAAGATTGGATCCTGTCAGAGGCCTGAATATCCACAGCTGCAGTGACCACCAAGCAGCTGTGATCCCCAGAACGCTGATCTCAGGCAGCGCGAACACTTTGGATCACAGGAGTGCCCCACCGCATGGCGAAAAGGTCAGATTTCGCGGCGAGAGGGTGAGTGAGCGCTCACGGCGAAGACAAAAACCTGCGCGCACAGGGCACGTGGAAACTGGAGGACAGGGACAGTGATTACAAGTAGAAGCCCCGGCTGTTGGGCAGGTGTCACCCGTGAAAGTGGACGGGACTCCTAACAGGGGAGATATCTAAAGAGCAACACATTTGGATCTGGCTCGGAGGGATATCGGAGAGTTGCGGGAGATTGCAGTTGCTCGGACTTGCCCCCTCCCCTCCTCCATAAACCCTGCCCCAGAGAGAGGGGAAAAAGCTGGAGAGGCTTTAGAGCCTGAGAAGTCAACCTAGAAACACTGCCCCCAGAGGCTAATTCACAAATTGACTCTAGTGTAATAAAAACAAAGCAAAACCTGCTTAAAAATCAGGACTGGATCAATAGAGGAAGCAAATGACCTTCATTACGGCAAATTTTATTTAAATTTTTTAAATTTTATTATTTTTTAATTTTTTGTTTTTTATTTTTGTTTTCATTGCTTGCAACGTTTACTCAAGAAACTATTTTTTTTCTTCTTTTCCTCACTTGATTTTATCTTTATAATTATTACATTGTATACATAATCAACATAATTACTACTACTATTTTACTTTTTTATCTTATTTTCTTTTCTTTATTTTTATTAATTTTATTTTTTTAATTATTTCAGGATTACTGTTCTACAGTCTTTATCTATCTCCAATGCTTTATTCTATCTCAACCCTACCTTTATGCCTTCACTCTCTTTCCAACCTTTTCCTTTGTACCCTGTTTATCTTAACCCTTTCCTGCTCTAGATTTTCCCCATTATTTCTGTCTACCCCCTCCTAAAATTTCACCCTACTTTTCTATATCTAATTTCCAACCCCCCGCTCCAAGCCCATTCACACCTTCCTCGCCGCTGTCCTAAAAACAAACAAACAAAAAACAGTCTCTCTAACTCTTTGACGTTGTATGTTGAATGTTAACTATACTGAAGTTGTATGCTTTTTATAAGATTGATATGCCTATTCTTTTTCTTTGGTTGTATGTTTTTGTTAGCTGGGTTCTAGTCACCTTTATTGGTGGTTATTAATATCGCAAACACATTTCTATTCAGTGCCCTGTGTGTTGTACCTGATTGTGTTGTATTTTGTGCCTTTAAATCAAAGCATGAGAGAACTATACAACCAGACATCCTAAAAAGAGAGATCATGGAAAGACAAAGAAACAGCCGCATATGAAAGAAAAACAGGCTTCACCAGAAAAGGAAGTAAACGAGATAGAGCCAAGCAACCTACCAGAGCAAGAATTCAAAGTAATGATCATAAGATGACTAAAAAGAATGGAAGACAAATTTGACAATATGTGTAAGAACCAAGAGGAAATGAAGAAGAACCAAGAAGAAATGAAAAATGACATCGCTACTGTAAAGAACTCAATAGAAAACATCAAGAGCAGACTAGAAGAAGCAGAGGACCGCATCAGCGAGCTAGAAGACAAGATGGGAAAAAATATACAATTAGAACACCTTCTGGGGAAAAAAATTAAAAAGCAGAAGGAGAGTTTAAGGGAACTTTGGGACAATACAAAACAAAACAATATTAGAATAATAGGTGTTCCAGAAGGAAAGGAAACTGAGGAAGACATGGAAAACGTATTTCAAGAAATAATGACAGAAAACTTTCCTGAGATAGAGAAGAAAAAACACACACAAATCCAAGATGCTCGCAGAGTCCCAAGCAAAATAACCCCCAGAAGACCAACCCCAAGGCACATTACATTTAAACTGGCAAACAGCAATGACAAAAAAAAGAATTTTAAAAGCAGCCAGAGAGAGACAGAAAGGTATATATAAAGGAACCCCCATCAGAATAACAACTGATTTTTCCACAGAAACTTATCAGGCCAGAAGGGAATGGGATGAAATATACAAAGTCATGCAAAGGAAGGGTCTGAATCCAAGAATACTGTACCCAGCAAGGTTATCAATCAAAATTGAAGGTGAAATCAGGAGCTTCACAGACAAAAAAGACTAAGGGAATTTATCTCCACCAAACCAGCAATGCAAGAAATGCTAAAGGGTCCAATGTAAAAATAAAGAAATAGGAAGCGAAGAAGGAACACAGGGGTATAGAATAAAAATGGGATCAAATGAGTACCTATCATTAATAATTTTAAATGTAAATGGTTTAAATGCTCCAATCAAAAGACATAGGGTAACAAATTGGATAAGAAAACAAGACACACATATCTATTGTATACAAGAAACCCACTTCAGAAAAAAGGATGCACACAGACTGAGGGTGAAGAGGTGGAAAAAAGTTTTCCAGGCTAATGGAAATGAAAAAAAAAGTTGGGGTAGCAATACTTATATCTGACAAATTAGATCTCAGAGTAAAGGACATAACAAGAGATAATGAAGGCCACTTCATAATACTAAAGGGAGCAATCCAACAAGAAGAAATAACCCTGGTAAATATAAATGCACCCAATATGGGAGGGCCCAAATACATTAAAAAAAACTTGGAGGACATTAAGGGAGAGATTAATAGCAATACAATCATAGCAGGAGATCTTAATACCCCACTGCCAACCCTTGACAAATCATCTAATCAAAAAATAAGCAAAGAAATATCAATCCTAAATGACTCGCTAGACCAGATGGAATTAATCGAAATCTTCAGAACATTCCACCCCAAAGCCACAGAATATACATTCTTCTCAAGCGCACATGGGACATTCTCAAAGGTAGACCACATTTTGGGACATATGCAAAGTATCTTCAAATTGAAGAAGATAGAAATCATATCAAGCATCTTATCAGATAACAGTGGCATAAAACTTGGAATTTAACTATAATACAATAAAAATAATCCAAAGAAATCAAACACATGGAGACTAAACAGCATGCTATTAAACAAGGACTGGGTTACCAGAGAAATCAAGGAAGAAATTAAAAACATCCATGAAAAAAAATGACAATGAAAACACAACTATCCAAAATCTATGGAACACAGCAAAAGCAGTTTTGAGAGGGTAGTTCATATCCTTAAAAGCCTATTGCAAAAAACTAGAAAAAATGGTTAAAAAAAAAAAATTATCTAACTATACAACTCAAAGAGTTAGAAAAAGAACAACAACAAAAGCCCAGTGTAAGCAGAAGGAAGAAAATAACAAAAATTAGAGCAGAGATAAACGACATAGAGACCAAAGAAACAATACATAAGATCAACAAAACCAAGAGCTGGTTCTTTAGAAAGATAAACAAGATAGATGAACCTCTAGCCATGCTAACCAAGAAACAAAGAGAGAGTACTCAAATAAACAAAATCAGAAATGAAAGAGGTGAAATAATAACAGACCCCACCGAAATACAAAGGATTGTTACAAAATACTACGAACAACTTTATTCCAACAACTGAACAACCTGGAGGAAACGAACATATTCCTAGAGAAATATAACCTTCCAAAACTCAATCAGGAAGAATCTATAAATCTCAATAAACAGTAACTTGGGAAGAAATTGAAACAGTCATCAAAAAGCTTCCAGCAAACAAAAGCCCAGGGCCAGATGGCTTCACAGGAGAGTTTTACCAAACATTCAAGGAAGAACTAAAACCTATCCTCCTCAGACTATTCCAAAAAATCCAAGAGGAAGGAACACTTCCGAACTCCTTCTATGAAGCCAGCATCACCCTAATACCAAAACCAGATAAAGACAACTCAATGAAAGAGAATTACAGGCCAATATCCCTCATGAACATAGATGCCAAAATCCTCAACAAAATTCTAGCAAATCGGCTCCAGCAGAGCATCACAAAGATCATACACCATGAGCAAGTAGGATTTATTCCGGGAACGCAAGGATGGTACAATATCTGCAAATCAATAAACGTGATACATCACATAAACAAATTGAAAGATAAAAATCATATCGTCATATCAAAAGATGCAGAAAAAGCATTTGATAAAATCCAACATCCTTTCCTGATAAATACTCTCAACAAGGTGGGAATACAAGAATCATACCTCAACATAATAAAAGCTATATATGATAAACCCACAGCCAACATCATACTCAATGGGCAAAAACTAAAACCATTCTCTCTATTCCCTCTAAGAACAGGAATATGACAGGGATGCCCACTATTGCCACTCCTCTTTGACATAGTACTGGAAGTACTAGCCATCGCAATTAGACAAGAAGAGGAAATAAAAGGCATACAAATTGGAAAAGAAGAAGTAAAATTATCCTTATTTGCAGATGACATGATATTGTACATAAAAAACCCAAAAGACTCCATTAAAAAACTAATTGACTTAATAAATGAATTTGGCAATGTAGCAGGATACAAAATTAACACCAAGAAATCTATGGCATTTCTATACACCAACAGTGAACTTATAGAAATAGAGACTAAAAAAGCAATTCCATTTACCATGGCACCAAAAAAATTAAGATACCTTGAAATAAACTTAACTAAGGAAGTAAAGGACCTATATGCAGAAAACTATACGACACTGAAAAAAGAGATAGAGGAAGATATAAACAGATGGAAGAACATACTATGTTCATGGATTGGTAGAATCAACATCATCAAAATGTCCATACTTCCTAAAGCAATCTATAAGTTCAATGCACTCCCCATTAAAATACCAATGGCATATTTTACTGACCTAAAAAGAACTCTCCAAAAGTTCATTTGGAACAATAAAAGACCCCGAATAGCCACAGCAATCCTGAGAAAGAAGAGTAAAGTAGGAGCATCTCAATAACAGACTTCAAACTGTATTACAGGAAGAACCAAGATGGCGGCATAGGGCAGACGCCCAAATGCAGCCTACCACAACAAGTTTGAATTTAGAACTGAAAAATAGGGGAAACATCACCCTGAAGCGCCAGATGGCTGGCTGAGCAGAAAGGAGAGAGAAGGCGTGCTAAACCTCAGGAATTGTGAAGGTACAGAAAACTGTGCGCGCGAAAAAGTGGCTGCAGAGTTTGCTGCTGGCTTGCTTGCCAAGCGCCGAGAGGGCGGGCCGAGTTTGCTACCTTCTTACTCCCTGCGCGCAGAGAGGGTGGACAGCTAATGCGTGGCTGGCTTTCTTGTGCGGGAGGAAAACAGAACCACCCTATTGCGCTGATAGACGGCCCCAGACAGGGAGAGGCCAGACAGTCGGGCAGTGGGCAGGGATCTCTCGGAGGTGTGTGAAGAGAGATAAAAACATCAATGATGAGAGAAAATCATTGATGGCTACCTTCTGCACACCCCCTATTGGTGATCGAGCCCACAACCTGGGCATGTGCCTTCAGCCAGAGTCAAACCAGGTCCCTTCAGTCTGCAAGCCGACACTCTATCCACTGAGCCAAACTGGCTAGGGTGGAATTATACCATTTTTTGTCAGATGAGAAAGAATATATTTTTGCCAGGGGGGTGAGGGCATGAGTGGGGGGAGGTAATGAGGGGATAAGGACACATATATAATACCTTAGTCAATATATATTGTGTGTGCCTCAGAATCTTAGTAATTAGTTTATGTATGTTATGAGATGGAAAAGATTGAAAACCACTAATTTAAATTTTTTTTTCCTCAGCAATGTTTTGGAACTTTTAGTATAAGCCTTTTTCCTTTGTTAAATGTATCACTATATCATTATTTGCAATGCTATTGAAAGTAAAATTATTTATCTTATTTAGTTTTTGGATTATTCAGTTCTCATATATAGAAGTAAAATTGAGCTCTGTCTTATGTGTTCAGCAGTAAAATTTTATGCATTTGTCTTTTAACTAGTTAATTGAAGAAAAGTGTAAAAAATGTACAGTGTCATTTATATTTATTGAAATAATTACCTAAAAGCTGTTTTTTTTATATCTTCATGTAGATGTGAGTTACCACCTGATATCATTCTATTTCACACTGAAGTATTTCCTGCTGTATTTCTTTAAGACAAGTTTGCTAATATAACAACAAAATTTCTTAGTTTCTTTTTACTTGGGAATGACTTTGTTTTATCTTTATTTTTAATAATTTTCTGGGTATAAAAATCTTGATTGTGAATTTTGTTTTTAGCACTTTGAAAATATTATTCCACTACCTTTATTCTACACTCTTTGTGTAGAATGATAAGTCAGATGTTAATCTTATTAATAGTTTTATAGAGATACTAGAGGCCCAGTGCACGAAATTCATGCACAGGGAAGGGGTGTCCCTCAGCCTAGCCTGTACCCTCTCCAATGTGGGATCCCTTGAGGGATGTCTGACTGCCAGCCTGGTCACCTGTAACTGCCCTCCCCTTCAAGTTTGATCTCCCCCAACTGCCCCATCTTGCAGGCCTGGTGTCTCCCACTGCCCTTCCCTGCTGGCCATCTTGTGGTGGCCATCTTGTGTTCACATGGGGGCAGGATCTTTGACCACATGGGACAGCCATCTAGTGTGCTGGAAAGATGGTCAATCTGCATATTACTCTTTTATTAGATAAAATAGAGGCCTGGTGCATGGGTGGGGGCCAGCTGGTTTGCCCTGAAGAGTGTCCCAGATCAGAGTGGGGGTTCCCTTGGGGTGTGGGGCAGCCTTGGTGAGGGGCCTATGGTGGTTTGCAGGACAGGGAAATCCAAGCAGAAGCTCTGGTATCTGGGATTTATTTATCTTCTACAATTGAAACTTTGTAGCCTGGAGCAGAGTCAAGCCTTCTGCTTGTTCTATGGTGACAGGGGATTTATTTATCTTCTATAATTGAAATTTTGTAGCTTTAAGCAGAGGCCTGAGCCAACCAGGGTGTCTGAAAGCTTGGCTTCCTCTATCACGGGGAAACCCAAGCCTCCTTCCTGCTCTTTCCGTGGTTGCAGCCATCTTGTTTGGGTTAATTTGCATACTCGCTCCTGATTGGCTGGTGGGCATGGTTAGTAGGTGTAAGGGAGTGGTGGTTAATTTGAATATTACTCCTTTATTAGATAGGATAATTCACATACAATTTACTCATTTAATATGCACGATTCAATGGATTTTAGTACACATTCACAGAGTTGTGCTTTCATTACCATACTCAATTTTGAAACATTTTAATTATGGTGGGGAGGAACCTCAACACTCCTTAACCATCACATTCCAATATTCTTATACCTCCAAATTTTTAAATGTTATATTGCTATTGGCAACTAACTCACTGTGTATTAAAAGTAATTATAAACAATCTATATTATATCTAACATATTTTCTAAATATTTCTAGGCAGAACTTATGAAGAAATTTCACCCCACATGAATGAACCTTCAAAATTATATCAGAGAACATCTAGTGCTAGGTCAAGCATTTATAAAACTATCCATTTTCCTTTACTGACTATAGAATCTCCAGGTAAGAATTAATATATATTAGTGTAAAATATGACTTTTTAAATTTATAAAGTTTAATTATGAAAACAATCAGATTGTGTTATCCTTAGTAATAATATAATAGTTTAGCAAAACATAAGTGGAGGTAAATGCATTCTTAGTGGATGATTAGTGTCTGTCATGGCTCTTTCTTCACCACTATCACTAAATTAAAACACTGTTTTTGCTTTTCTGCAGCATTGCTTTCTTGCCCCATGATAGATCTTGCAGATGACTGAGATAAACTCATGTTATAATCCTCTTCCTTATATGTTTCTCTTTTATCCAATCTAAGATAGGGTTTGCAATATAAAGACTTAACATGAGGATTGGTGGGAAGAAAAATAAACATTAAGTTTATTTCCCTTCATTACCATTTCCTCATCCCTCTAATCTACTAATATCTAACTTATTTACAGACCCTATTTATTATCCATTGCTCCAAAAGCTCCATTTATTATCCATTAGCCTAGTATGTTTCCTACAGATATTGAATTTGAACTTTTTAAAAATGTAGATGATATTTCTTTGATCTATTATGTTCTCTAAAACCCAAAATCTATAATAATAACAATGTAATATGCTAATTAGACCAAATAGCCAAATGACCTTCTGGATGACCTTCCAGATGAAGCCAGGGATTCCAGGGCTGAGGAAGCTGCCACAGCTGCAAGGGTGGAGCTCCTTGCAGAAATTTCATGCATCAGGACTCTAATAATTATATACGCTAGCAATACTTTTGCCAGTTTTTATTCTAACTCCATTTCTCTTACTATCATCTCTATTAGCTACATTTTACATTTTACTAATCTATGTTTTACAGGTTTGGGCAAAAGTAGGTTTACAGTAATGAGTATGCACAACAGTTTATTCTCATATTATTATGTATTAATTCTTATACTATTTTCCATACAAATAACTGTAAAATTAACTTTGCTGCACACCCTGTATAATTCAGAGATAACTTAAATTTGACTGGTAATTAAAGTAAGATATATTAGGCAAACAAACCTGAAAAATTAAAAAATAATTATTATATGCCTTTATGTTCAAATAAGCTATATTCTTCTTCCTACTTACTGTTAGATCATGAAATCAGAATCTTTTAGCACATTTTAGAAAAATGTAATTGATTTTACATTCACCATTCATTTTATATCACTTACAAAACTGCTTTCCATTTATGTAGTTCCTAGTTTTGCCTACAATTTTGATTTTTCTCTTCTAAGCCTGCTATTTGACAGAATTATTAATTATAAACAGTAATATTGCCTAACAAAACAAAAGAGAGAGAGTAAGAATTAACAATCCACTATCCAAATTTTTACTCTATACTTAGAGAACAATAATAATGGTATTTTTGTGTGTGTGTGCATGGTGTGGATTGAATGAAAATGAGGATACATACATGTTTCTATTTTCCAGCATAAATTTTTAATCCAAAAGTAATGGCAGCTAAACATTTTTAAATAAATATTTGCCTTAAAATTGAAAAGTTGAATGATCTATTTCTTTGCAAGACATGCATTATGGAAATTCAACACAGTAACACATAAAAGATAGTACTTTTTCACATTAAAGCTGAAAAAGTTTCTTCAGAATGCCCATGTTCTGCTTTTTTGTAATGTATTTTTCTCTAAATGAGCATGTTCAAACTATTTTTAATATTGTACCATTTATTACAATGCTCAAAATATGTATTTTTTTACATCATTTCTAAGCATCACTCCTTCTATTATAGACTGAATTTTTTACTATGGAATATAAATTTCTTTTTAAGTGAGTATATGCTGTTGCAAATAGAAATAACAACTTTATCTGATAATTTACTTATTGAATTATTAAAGTTTTTTTTTTACTTTCCTACTATAAAAAAGTTATCTACGTGGCATTTTTATTTGCAGAATATCTTCTTCTTTATTTGCATTCTTACTAGTTATGTTCATAAACATCAAGTACTGAGCAAGGAAAAATCAGAGAGAAAATATTTTTGTTAGTAAAGCTGTGTTATCTAAATAATTAGAAAAACATAAGGAAGTTATGGTTTAGAAGTGGATTAAAATTTATTTTTAACATTTTAAAGGTTCAAATTAGGTCATTTCTAAGGTAATTTATTAATAATATTTTTTTTTAGGGCATCCAAAAAAATTAAGCTCAAACAAAAAAAAATTTGAAGTGACAAATACTCTGCCTGTTGTGATCTCTAAACAAAGGAAATCTATCTATAAAGGTAAAGAATCACTGCTAATACAATATATGAAATAAAACATTGTACTGTTTTCATAGTGTCTATTTACTAATCACCTCAAAACTATGGACCCCTTTCCCAGACAACTAATCTTATGAGCCAAGTTATTTTTCCAAACTTTTCCTCAAACTTGTGTGTGTGTGTGTGTGTGTGTGTGTGTGTGTTTTCTAGTTATACGATAACTAGATGCCCAGTGCATGAAATATGTGCATTTGGTGGGGGTAGTCAGTCTGGTCTGCACCCTCTCTCAATCCGGAAGCCCTTGGGGGATGTCTGACTGATGGCTTAAGCCCATTTCCTAATCCGCAGTCAGACATTCTTAACCCTGCTGTGAAGGCAGGAGAGGCTCCGGCCTCCTCCATGGCACTCGCAGGCCATCAGCCCGGCTTCTGGCTGAATGGCGCTCCCCTGTGGGAGTGCACTGACTACGAGGGGGCAGCTTTAGCATTGAGTGTCTGCCCCTTGGTGGTCAGTGTGCATCATAGTGATGGTCATTCCACCATTCAATCCATTTGTATATTAGCCTTTTATTTTAGAGGATAGGATCATATGCATGGATTCTCCTTATCTCTAATCCAGGTATATGGATATAGATATGTTTTAATCTTTCTGAACCTTTAAATTATTGCATAATATTTTATAATATGAATTTGCTATTCAACCATTTCTCTATTGGATGATATTTACAATTTTTACCAATTTTTTTACTCCAAGGCCAGTTTGGCTCAGTGATTAGAGCATTGGTCCACAGGCCAAATGGTCATGGGTTAGATTCCATTGCACATACTTGGTTGCAGGCTCTATCCAATCTATTCAAGTGCTTGTGGGAGGCAACTAATCAATGTGTCTCTCACATCAATGTTTTTTTTTCTCTCTCTCTCCCACTCCTCCCTCCCTACATTCTCTCTTTAAAAAAATCAATGAAACATGTATCCTCTAGTGATAATTTTTTGAAATTATTTTACTACTACAAGCAATCGGGCAATAAATATCATTATGCCTAAATATTTATACTGTGATAATTGTATTTCTAAAGGCCATGTAAACTGGAATTACTGCATTAATGGGTATATGTGTCTTTATTTTAATATATACATATAGACAAATTACTTACTAAATGACTTTAGTTAATAATTTTCCTAGTAAATTCATAAAAGATTTATTTCTCACATATTAGTCAGTACTAGACTTTTATAGAATGGCAAACAATATTGTTAAGAAGTATTGCACTACAGATTTTGTGCAATTTCTATCAAAATTTCACTGACATTTTTTGAAGAAATAGAAATATCCATTTAATATTCATATGGAATCTTAAGGCACTTCATATTTCAAAGCTTACTTCAAATCTACATTAGTCAAAACAGTGTGGTAATGACATAAATACAGATATATAATCAATGAAATAGAATAGAGGACTCAAAAAAAAAAAAACTCTCACATATATACTGAAATAATTTTTTTACAAGAATGCCAAGACTATTCAATGAGAAAAGGAGAATTGTAGCAACATATCATGCTAAGAAAAGTAGATACCCACAAGCAAAAGAGTGAAATTGGACCTTTACCTTACACCATAGGCGAAAATTAGCTTAAAATAGATTAAAGACCTAAAAATAAGTGCTGAGCTATAAAATTCTTAAAAGAAAACATATGGCAAGCTTTTTCTTTTTTTAATTAAATTTTATTGGAGTGACATTAGTCATCATGAACATATAGGTTTTGTGTGTGGATTATTAAGTTAAAAAATTTGTATATAGGACCATGTGCCCACCACCCAAAGTCAAATCTTCTCCTGTCACCTCATTCTCCCTCTACTTCCTCCCTCTTACAACCAGCACATTGCTGTTTGTGTTCAGAAGTTTGAGTTTTATATTCCACAACTGAGTGAAATCATATAGTTCTTAGCTTTGTCTGACTTATTTCACTTCGCATAATGTTCTCAAGGTGCATTCAGGTAAAGGTCCATCATTGTAAATGATGCTATTTTACAATGGTCTTATGACCGTGTAGTACTCCATTGTGTGTATATATACCACATCTTCTTTATCCAGTCCTCTATTGCAGGGCACTTTGGCTGTTTCTAAATTTTGGGTACCATGAATAATGCTGCAATATTTTCTTGAATATGACATCAAAGGTACAGTCAAACAAAGAAGAAATAGGCAAATTTCATCAAAATTTAAAATTTTCTTAACAAAGGACAATAATAATAAAGTAAAAGGCAAACCACAGAATGGGAGAAAATATTTACAAATCACATATCTGATCAGCTAATATACAAAATATAGACAGAACTTATAAAACTCAATGAAACAAAATAATTGCAAACAAAATACTTGATTAAAAAATGAGCAAAAAACTTTAATAGATATGTATTTCTCCAAAGAAGATATATAAAGAGCCATAGGCACATGAAAATATGGTATACATTGCTATTTATTAAGGAAATGCAAATAAAAACCACAATAATATATCACTTCACACCTAACAGGATAGCTATTACTGAAAATAAAGAAATAAAAAAGAGAGGAAAGGAAAAAGAGAAAAAATAAGAGTTGGCTAAGATGTGAAGAAATTAGCACTCCTGCTGGGGTGTGAAATGGTGCAGCTGTAATGAAAAAAAAAACCAGTATGGTGATCCCTCAAAATATTAAAAATGGCATTACTATATGATTCAAATATTCCACTCCAGATATATACCTAAAAGAATAAAATGCAGAGACATGAACAGATATTTTATGACAGCCAAAAGATAGAAGCAATCCAAAAGATAGAAGCAGTGCTAAATGGATTTTTAAGCTACTGTGAAAAATTAATCTCCTTATTTAATTTTGGTCTATTAAGATTTTCCATTTCTTCATGATTCAGTTTAGTTAGGTTGTATATTTCTAGGAATTTATTCATTTAATCTAACTTACCTAATATGTTGGTATATAATTAATGATAGCTTTATTATCTTTTATATTTCTGTAGTATAAGTAGTACTGTCTTTCTCTTTTGTATAGCATTTTATTAATTTGAGCCATCTATTTTTTTTCTTAGTCTTCCTCAAATTGGTCAATTTTATTTTTCAAAAAAACAAGTCTTAATTTTATTTATTGATTTTTTTTCTATTGTTTTACTAGTCGTTTTCTCTTTTTTTTCTTTCAATTTTCTTTAATTTGTATTATTAAATTCCTTCTACTAAATTTAGGCTTAATTTGTTGTTTCTTTTCTAGTTTCTTGAGATGTAAACTTAGGATATTTATTTGAGAGCTTCCTTGTTTCTTCATCTAGTCATTTGTCTCGAAAACAAGGAGTGCTCTTGCTGTATCTCATAAGTTTTGGTATTTTATGTTTTCTTTTTTGTGTACTACTAGATTTTTTAATTTCCCTTTGATTTTTTTCTTTGACCAATTGGTATGTTGTTTAATTTCCAAATATTTGTGAACTTCCCAGCTTTCCTTCTGATTTTTGGTTTCATGAAATTGTGATCAGAAAATAATATTTGATATAATTTCAATCTTCTTAAATTCTTAAGACTTATTTTGTGACTTAATATATGCTATAATTTGTAGGATGTTCCACGTGCACTTGGAACAATGAAAATAGCTCTAGGAAGAGCTATTTCCAAAATATATCAGCAAATCCAAATCTAAAAATAATGGGAGGCAGGGGAGGAGAGATACTTTTTTTCTGTTGCTTTGAGTGCTCTACATGTCTATTAAGTCTATATAGTCTAAAGTATAGTTTAAGTCCATTATGTACTAATTAATTTTATTTCTAAATAGTCTATTCTTGAAGGTGGGTTATTAAACTTCTCCAGATTTATTGCTTTGCTATCTACTTTTAACATCCCCTGGCTGCCGGCACCAGCTTCCCTCTGGCATCCAGGACACGGGCTTCCCTCTGGCCACTGGCAGTTCACCTGAGACCCGGGCTTCCCTCACAGCCCCAGCTTTGTCCGGAGGTTGTCCAGAAGAACGTCTGAAAGGACATCTGGTCTAATTAGCATATTACACTTTTATTATTATAGAGCGTTTTATATTTTCCTTTTTTTTTTTTTTCTTCATGTTTCAGCTTGAGGAACTCCCTTCAGCATTTCTGTAAGGCAGTTCTAGGGGGAATAAATTCTTTCACTCGAAGGTGGATGTGAGGTCACTGACTGGCAGGGGTGCATTATCTATGGTTCTTGGGAGAACATTTCATCAGCTGAAATCAATGTTGGGGAACACTGATGGAATCTCCTGTGGCCAAGACTGGAAAGGTCCTGTAGGTGGCAGTAGCAACTAAGGCTCTTAGGGTTCTTGGAGGTAAAGGCTGCTGTGGTCTTCTTCTTCTCCCTTTTTTGCCCATAGGAGGTAGTTCTCACTGAGGATCCTCCTGATGCCATATCTGGTGTGCTAGCACTCATATTAGCAGTAGAGACAATCCTGGGATCGGTTACACATGGAACTATCACAATGCTTGGGTCCTGGAACAAAGGTACTAATGGCAGTGGCACTCATGTCTGAGGTGTGGACATATGCTGATTTCCAGTAGAACTAAAGTCTAGGTCTCTTGAATTCACTGCAGGAATTGGAAGGAACCTAGCACCTCTGGGGTGACAGAGTGCAGAGTGCTTGGGCTCAGGGAGCAGGATCCAGTAGCATCAAGGTCAGGAATGGTGGGTTGAAGTCTGAACTCTGGCCCGAGGGATCAGTCACAGAAAATAACAGTATGTCCAGGGATGGTCTGTTAAAGCCATCCCCTGGATGTAGTATAGATCAGCAGCCACTTGGCCAGTGATGTCAAGTCTAAGGCACAACCTAGGGCCTGGGGTAAGGCTCAGAGCAGTGGCAACTCCTCTGGTTCCATAAATTATAATACAGTGTGGCTTCCAAGTCCCAGAAAATGTGGTGCAGCAGCTATAGGTGTCCATGAGGACAGTTCTCATCACAGCCACAACTTCAGCCATGAATAGATAGGGGGCTCGGGAGGCAGTCCAGCCAGCTCTATCAGTTAGGATCAGCGTTGGTGAACACTCTGGGAATCTTCCATAGCAAAGGCTGCAAACATCCATGGCAGTGAGTTATGCTGTGGTTCTCTTGCTTGCTTTTTCCCTCTGGAGTAAAATCTCTTCCAGGAATTCCCTCCTGGCTGCCCTGAACTGGATGATAAGGTGACTCAGGCAAAATGCTCTCTATGCTTTTTTATGCAACCATTTTTGTTTTTTGAGCTCCTCACAATTTCTGCTGCTTTTCTTTATAGAGCAGAAATAGCTCTTTCTAGAGCTATTTTCATTGTTTACTCATTGTTTTTGTGTTTTTTGTTGGAGAGATTAGCACTGGGACCTCCTGTACATCTATCTTGCCGATGTCACCTTTATTATTATTTATTCAAGAAAGCATGATCTTTCCTGTTCATTAATTATTAAAGCATAGTAATATATCTTCCAATTCATATCAGCACATCCAAATCAATCTAATTCTTTTTTAAGACCTTTATAGTTGAGCATACTATAGTATATTTAGCTAGACCTCTGTTAAATGGGTTCTTTCCAGTTATTTTATAACAAACAATCTTACATAATAAAACCCTAATATACAAATCCACCAAATGGCAGAACAACCGGCAGAAGGACCAATCACTATGATGTGCACTGACCATCAGGGGATAGATACTCTGCATTGAGTGTCTGCCCTCAGAGAGGGAGGTGACTGGCAGCGACAATCAAAGGGCAGGTTTGGCCAGCGGGCAGTGCCAGGCCACCAGCCAGGGTGGGTGCCAAGGGAGCTCCCCAGTTGTCCTGCCTGCCAGTTTCCCCACAGATGGCTCTGATTTCCAGCCAGGCCTAGGGACCTTACCCAATATATTAGGAACAGTCTCTTAGGTTTAAACATTAAAACCTGGCAAGGCTCCTCTAACACTAACAAATCAGGATGATGCAGTAATGACATGCATAGACTCTGGCTTGCACATTGCACATTTTATGGTCAGCTATGATTCTGACACTTATAACTGTGTGACAAACCAATTACTTAACTTCTCTCTGCTTCTGTTTTTCCACCCATAAGGTGGGGGAAATGGTATTATTGCCTCAGAAGGGTCATGTTATGTACTACTTTTTATAATCAGGGCAAAAAATGTAGCTGCCAATACAACAGCAAGGTGCTTTTCACCTATATGGAAAGTATGGTCACTGGTGCATACAGCGTTCTGGATTGTGAGGATGTCCAACTGCCAGTTTAGATCTGACATCCCCCAAGGGGTCCTGGATTGCGAGAGATCACAGGCAATGCTGAGAGAACCTCCCCCCGCCCATGCACATATTTTGTGCACCAGACCTCTAGTCTCTCTCTCTCTCTCTCTCTCTCTCTCTCTCTCTCTCTATATATATATATATATATATATATATATATATATATATATATATATATATATATATATATAGCTAATATGCAAAGTGTCCCCTCTGGAGTATGACCAGGAGACCAGGAGTTCGATTGTTCACTATTACGTGCACTGATCACCAGGGGGCGGCATGGAAAGAAGAAATGCCCCAGCCAGCAGCTGGCAACTGGGGAAGGAAGGCCTGGCTGGCAGTCAACAACAGTGGAAGGAAGGCCGCAAGTCCCCAGCTAGCAGCTGGCAGCCAGGGAAGGAAGGCCCTGGACATACCCAGCAGCTGGTAGCTGGGGAAGGAAGGGCCTGGCAGGCAGCCAGAAGGCCCTGATTGGTCCTGATCACTGGCCAGGCCTAGGGACCCTACCCATGCACAAATTTCATGCACCAGGCCTCTAGTATTGCAATAAAGATCATTGGAATAAATAGATATTTTATAATCCAGTCTTGGTTTCCGTTATTTCAAAATGCTTCTACTACATAAAAGGAATTGCTGCTATTTTCTCACTGGCACTAATTTCTTTTGATCTCTTTTATTACAGTTCATAAATTGGCCTCTCAGTTAAAACTGTCTTTTCAAAGAATCATAGATATATTAAACATACATTTTATATATTCATTTCAAAAATTGGCTTTCAGTTAAAACTAACTGATGTTTTTGAAGAACCATAAGCATATTAAGCATACACATGTTATGTTTACCAAAAAAACAATATTGCAATGAACTTGAACTTCTAAAATTTCTCTTTTCTATAAATGTTTCTCAAAAGTTGACTGCTGGATTAGCAGCCTGTGCATTAACTGGAAAGCTATTAGAAATACAAATTATTGGATCCTACTGAAAACTTACTGAATCAGAAGCTGTGGGGTTTGAGTTAAACAATCTATTTTTACAAGTCCTCTGGGTAATTCTGATGCAGGCTAATATTGGAGAATCATTATGTTATATACTCTGTTCCAAGTTAAGTATGTCCCGGTATAATTTCTATAGAAACATAGATAGTGATTAAAACTAGAGGCCTTATGCATGAAATTTGTGCAAGAGGGGGCCTTCCTTCCCCTGACTGCTGGCACCAGCTTCCCTCTGGCACCCAGGACATGGGTTTCCCTTGTAGCCCCAGCTTTGTCCAGAAGGTATACCAGAGGGATGTCCAGTCTAATTAGCATATTATGCTTTTATTATCATAGATGTGTACTGCTTTTCCATTTCCAATGTTACTATTATTAACATGTGATGATATTCTGTTTTCCCTGATGTCCTATGTAATAAAAGTTACATAAACTATAATGAAATTAAGTAAATTATATAACTTTTTTTTAGCGCCACCTACCACTGCTAGAAAACATTCAACATATCTTTACTCTTGAGAATTAAAAACTAAGCAACATATACAAATCAATGAAGACAACAATGAAAAGTGCAAGTATGGAAGCCTTATGAAAATAACACTGATTTAAGTGGATGGTGCTTACTAAGCAACAATGGGAAATATCCTGAGTAAACAGCGTAGGCTCAGATCATGAGGGTCTTAATCTGCAACAGGTGAGTTTGTATATTTGCATTGCTTTCTTTTTTTTCTTTTAAAAAATTATAGCTATCTTTTAAATCACACATGATGAAAATATTAAGCCTATTCAAAATATTAATGTTTGAACATTGTACAACCAATTTCAAAAAGGAAAAGAAGCAAACACAAATGCCTCATAACCATAACCTGATTGAAATGTGCTAGAGCATATTCTGTAGAATTTGTAATGGCACAAATACAAGTGCTAAGATTTTAAAGACATGATTTTTGTCAATCAATATTAATAGCATTAAAATATTATTTTGAATCACATTTTTATTGTAGCCTGAGCAGCATAAATATGAGATTATATTAAAAGCAATCTGGATTATCACTGACATAGGTATTTAAGTTTATATAACATCATTTTGAACCTGGAATGTAAGTATATTTCTCCAGCATGGATTATATCCATGAACAATAGTATTAATCTAAATACTTTGTAGATCTGTTTTATGTAAAAAATTAATAAGAAAATTGGGTTTCTATAGAAACAATATAAAGTAATATAAAATTAATAAAATAATGGCTATACTCTAAAATCTCTCATTGTAAAGCTATGTTACACTTTATATAATAGTAAAAATGTAAAATTTATAAAGTAAGAAACCATGAATTGAGCATAAGTATCAGTCAATAGGAAATCAGTGGCTATCTATTACTAATGACTATCTATTCTCTGAAACTGAAAGATACCAAAGGTAATATGAAGATAAATTGTATAAATAACTCTTTTGAGGGGTTTGAAGGCATATATGTAGAAATGAATAGGAAACTTGTTCTTGCAGCTTACCAATTGGGTTGTGAGCAATGTAAATATTATGTTTCTCTATAGAATTATTTTTCCAAGGCTTAATTAAGCATAGCAGCATTCCCCCATGACTGGAGATTGCTGGGATTATCTAAATGAGATCCAGTCCACCTTCTCAGTTTGCTGCCATGAACTATCCAGATAGTAGTGCTATTTATATATTAATCATATGATCTTTTGACTAAATGAGCTAGTATATGTGCTAAATCATTTATCCTGAAGCCTGTCTACAAAATAGGATTCACTTGAAGTGCTTTTAAAAAACACGATTTCTCAGCCTCCATAACCAGATTAATTAAACCAAATTCTCTATAGATTATTCAAATATGCAGCCGGAGTTGAGAAATCAACTAATAGCCAAACCTATATACAAATGATTGCAACTGATTTTTTAATCTAGATTTTTAATGCTTTGGGTGAAATGTTCTGAAGATGTCGATTACTTCCATCTGGTCTAGAGCGTCATTTAGGATTGATGTTTCTTTGTTGATTTTTTGTTTAGTTGATTTGTCCAAAGGTGACAGTGGGGTATTAAAATCTCCTACTATGATTGTATTGCTATTAATCTCTCCCTTAATGTCCTCCAGCAGTTTTTTTTTTAATGTATTTGGGTGCTCATGTATTGTGTGCATATATGTTTACAAGGGTTATTTCTTCTTGTTGGATTGCTCCCTTTAGTATTATGAAGTGACCATCATTATCTCGTATTACGTCCTTCACTTTGAGATCTAATTTGTCAGATGTAAGTATTGCCACTCTGGCTTTTTTTTTTTTTTTTTCCATTTCCATTCACCTGGAAAACCTTTATCCATCCTTTCACCCTCAGTTTGTGTTCGTCTTTTTTTCTGAAATGGGTTTCTTGTAGACAGCAGATATATGGGTCTTGTTTTCTTATCCAATCTGTTACCCTATATCTTTTGATTGGAGCATTTAATGCATTTACATTTAAAGTTATTATTAATAGGTATTTATTTGTTGCCATTTTTATTCTGTACCCCTGTGTTCCTTCTTCACTTCCTATTTCTTTATTTTTACAGTAGACCCTTTAGCATTTCTTGCATTGCTGGTTTGGTGGAGATAAATTCCTTTAGTCTTTTTTTGTCTGGAAGCCCCTTATTTCATCTTCAATTTTGATTGATAGCCTTGCTGGGTACAGTATTCTTTGATTCAGACCCTTCCTTTGCATGACTTTGTATATTTCATCCCATTCCCTTCTGGCCTGATGTGTTTCTGTTGAGAAATCAGTTGTTATTCTGATGGGGGTTCCTTTATATGTAACTTTCTGTCTCTCTCTGGCAGCTTTTAAAATACTTTATCATTGGTGTTTGCCAATTTAATTGTAATATGCCTTGGTGTTGGTCTTCTGGGGTTCATTTTGCTTGGGACTCTGCGAGCCTCTTGGATTTGTGTGGGGTTTCTCTATCTCAGGAAAGTTTTCTGTCATTATTTATTGAAATACATTTTCCATGTCTTCCTCAATTTCCTTTCCTTCTGAAACCCCTATTACTCTAATATTGTTTTGTTTTGTATTGTCCCAAAGTTCCCTTAGGCTCTTCTACTGCTTTTTACTTTTTTTTCTAGAAGCTGCTCTAATTGGGTATTTTTTTCCATCTTGTCTTCTAGCTCACTGATGAGGTCCTCTGCTTCTTCTAGTCTGCTCTTGATGCTTTATATTGAGTTCTTCATAGTAGCAATGTCATTTTTCATTTCTTCTTTCATTTCATTTCATTCTTTCATTTCTTCTTCATTTCCTCTTGGTTCTTCTTCATTTCCTCTTAGTTCTTCTTCATTTCCTCTTGGTTCTTACTCATATTGTCAAATTTGTCTTCCATTGTTTTTAGCCATCTTATGATCATTACTCTGAATTCTTGCTCTGGTTGATTGCTTGCCTATAAGTCGTTTACTTCCTTTTCTGGTGATGCCTGCTTTTCTTTCATGTGCGTACTATTTCTTTGCCTCCCCATGTTCTCTCTTTTCAGGATGTCTGGTTATGTAGATCCCTCTCTCCTGCTTTGATTTAAAGGCACAAAATACAACACTACCAGATACAACACACAAGGCACTGAACAGAAATGTATTTGAGATATTAATAGCCTCCAATAAAGGTGACCACTAGGGAAAGGGAAATTAGGGGGTAGGAGAGAAAGAAGAGTAAAAAGAGAAGAGGGAGGAAGCAAAAGAAAAAGAAAGGAAAAATATATTTTTTTTTAAAAAGGGAGTGTCAAAATGAAATTGGGAAACAGGGAGAAGAAAAAAGGAGAGATAGAGAGAGAGAGAGGAGAGAGAGAGAGAGAGAGAGAAAGAGAGAGAGAGAGAGAGAGAGAGAGAGAGACTGTGGGAGAAAAGGGGAACAAACTATATATATGGGGAGAGAATTTCAATAGAACAGCCACTAACTTCAGCAAATACTGGCAACAGTACCTGAGGAATAATACAATCTACACCCCCACTAATATCCAGTAAAGGAAGGGAAAACAGAAGGGGAAAAAAACACACAAGCAAATTAAAAATACCAAGCAACAGCAACAACAAAAGAATAAGCAAAATATTCTCACTAAAAAGCATAAAAATATAATACAATATAATCAACATTCACACAAACAGCATCAAAAGGACAGAGAGGAAAACAATTTTTTTTTTTTTTGCTAATTAATACAGCTCAGGAGGGGAGTGTTCGCACTTGGCACATGGAATTGGAAATTAGATATATAAGTAGGGTAGAAATTTTAGCAGGGGGGGAGACAGAAAGAGTAGGGAAAATCTAAAGCAGGAAAGGGTTAAGATAAACAGGATAGCAAAAGGGAGGTTAGAAAGAGAGTGATGGTGTAAAGGTTGTGTTGAGATAGGGTAAACGATGCTAAAAGGAGAAATGAAGATAGAATGAAAAACACTAATTCCAATGTAAAATAAAGAGAAAATAAAATGGCACTTAAAAAATTTAAAATAGCAGTAGTAATGCTGATTGAACCTAAAAAATTTAATAATTAAAAAGTTAAAATCAAGTGAGGAAAAAATGAAAAAAATTGTTTCTTAAGTAAAAGATGCAAAAAATGAAAATAAAAAATAAAAAAAATTCGCAAAAACAGTGTGCAGTTGTGAAGGCCATTCACTTCTGTTATTCTGTTTGGCACGCCTGTTTCTCAGTCCAGATTGTATTGCAGTTCCCTGCGTTCCACTGCACCTCAGTGTTGTAAACTAGTCCTTAATTTTAGGGTGGCGATTTCTTAGTTTCTTGGTTTTTGATTAAATAAAACTAGTAATAAACACAGTCAGTTTGTACTCCAGCCCCTAGGTGGCAGTGTTTTTGGATTGATGTGCCTGTCTTTTTAGCTGCTCCAGCCTTCTTTACCATGGCATTCAATACCGTTTTTTGGGGTTTTTTTTTGCCTCGGTGCTGAATCCTGGATGATTTCTCCCTACTCTGCTTCTCTGCTTCCAGAAAAGCTGTTTCCCCCTGTCTTATCTCTGGGCCAGCCAATCTGGGTGGTCTCTCCTTTGTAATCAGAATCAAAGGGTTGTAGGGGAACCAGCCTGATGGGCCAGTCTGCGCACACTTACAAACAGACTGCCTACCTTTCCAAGTCCTTTGTTCTCCCTATGTGTTTGATCAGAATGGGTTGCTCCCTAGAGAACCCCACTATTAGCAACCTTGAGGATCACCGTTCACTCTCTAGAATCACGCCAGACCCAACAGCGGGGGGCTTTTGTGGACACAGATTTCCACGGTCCCAGCGCAGGAGCTTTTGTTTCTGTCACTACAGCTGCCGCAGCTTCTGCAGCTACTGCTTTCGCTGCTGGGACACAGACACCTCACGTTATCCCCGGCAAAATCCAACCATTCTGTGGAATCTGCATGTCCGCACTGGTCGAGGCCCCACAGCTGCTCAGTGGTCTCCACAGTTGTGGTTTTTTCAGGTCTCAGATAAGATCCCCAGTTGCAGCTCTGATATGGTTGTGATAGGCAGCACGTACAAGTGTTTACTTTGCCG